TCTGAATTTTTTTAAGAGAATCTGGTCTCCTGAGAATCTGACTTGAGTCAACTTGCTAGTTCTGAGAGTTGGGGCTTATTGGGTTTCTAAGTGTTCTTAGTGGCTGTTGATAATGATCACTTCCAAGAATCCCAAATAAAAATGAAGAAACCCACACAGATAGATCTAAGAATTCGGCTTATTCTTTTATTTACCCTGACACTTGTTTTCCTGACTTGCTGAAACCAAGTTCTAGGCAGACTCCTGTTGTCAGCTAGAAAATAGAGACTGGTTTTGTGACAATACTTTTACCAACAGATTATTTTTGACATTATGATTTTCTTTATACAAAAAAAAAAAGGAGAAGGAAGAAGAACAGAGAGTGTAGGCAGAGGAGGAGGGATCTTCTTAAATCTTAGTAAAATCATTTGCCCTCAGTATTTTGACTCATCAACTTGACCACTTTACTTTTGCCTGCAGTTGAAGTTTCTAAGACTTGATGGGTAGATATACTGGTCCATAGAGTTCTAGAGAAGTTGAAACCATGCCGCCTGCAAATTGCTGTATTATTTTAACCTGAACAAACTCTCTCTGGACCATGAATTATCAAATCCTATCGCATTAACCCTTTCGTTTTGAAATTATTTGAGAAGTCCACATAATACTCTCGAAGCAAGTGAAGACAAAAAATCACTTTTGGCTTTGAATTGCCAACAGAAGTCCTCCCCAGGGAAAAGGCCAAAATGAGTTATGTAAAGGGAGAGGGATCCCAATGCCAGTCTTCTACCATAACCCACTTCAGTCCCAATCTCACTGAACATAGACATGACTGAGAGCCAGTGAGCAACCCATTTATTGCATACACTGTTTGTTATGACCAAATCCAGTACATCAAAGAATACAGATGGCCTTGGGGATGGTGTAAGAAGAGACCTGTGCTGACTCCTCTTGGAGAGATTTAGGTGAATACTGCCACCTATTGATAGGTGGAATATATGCGACAGATTCTACTTGACCCGACATGGTGCTAATGCTTATCAGAGCAGATCTCATTACTCAGTTGTCCAAAGGATCTTAAGGGCTCTTAAGTTTCTAACTCTTAATGTGACTTTAAAAAAAAAAGCCTGTTACATTCACCTAAAAATATATTTCTGATAAGAGGCAAAGGAGTGAAGTAGAAATACCATGAGCTTGGCACTCAGAGACCTGGGTTTGAGTCTCAGTTCAGCCCCTAAGTGCATATAAACAAGCTAATTAATCTCTCTGAACCTTAGTTTCTCCATCAATAAAAAGTGGATAATCCTACTTTGTAAGGTGTGAGAAGTCAGTGATATTGCTGCACAGCACACAGAAGGTATTTGACCCGCAGTGGCATTTACTATTACTTTTCCACAGAGTCATTCAAAGTACCCATTAGTGATACGATGACGGGTACTGTGACAAACCCCATCACGTATCACATCCTGATGAACTCTTCCACATGTGTCAGTCATCCTTTAGCAATGATCCTTGTCTAGTAGACTATCTTTGACATCCAAAATTAGGACAGTGTGAACATAAATATTGGAACTTTAAGTGTGCCAATTGAGAAAATGAGGATTAATGGGCTTCATTACCAAACATCTCCTGACTGCCCAGGAGAATATATGGGGTTGAGTCGATAAAGAATTATGATAAAACTTTGGAGCTGCATATAAATGGGGCTTTGTGACCTGCTGGATAGGGTTGAAACCGAGAGCCAGACCTCGGAGGCTCACATTCCTCCCTCGGCATGGTGTGGGGGATCCTGGGCTCCCACAGACAATAGGGGATTCATAGCACGGGAACTCTAATGCTGACTGAAAGGAGGGTGGCAGCCAGAACAAGAGGACTTTTCAGAAACATGGACTCTGATTATCACCTCAGTACTCCAGCCCGCCAAGAGGCGGCTGTGAGGACCTACGAGGCCATTCTTGGAAAGCTTTCAGTGAAATATTTGTAACCTCCTTAAGAGAATCCCATTTCTCAAAATTGTGACACTGGAAAATCTTCCACGATTAGTTCAGGTAAACACTCTTGTTACCGACTCCCACCTTCTCTTTTTGAAGAGTCCCTTCAAATGTCATGCATCCAGGCTTCCAAGATTTAGATAAAAATCCCAAAGGGGGGTTTCCCAGGATATTTTTGGGACCATTGCTTTTAATCTGAAAGGTCAACTGGGGCTTAAAACAAAATAATCAAGAAATAACATGCCTATGAACAGTCTGCACCTTTTGAAAAGGTCTGCTTTGGACTGAATAGCCAGTGCCCTCCCAGCCCCTTTCTTTTTTTCCTTTGGGGCTTAGAAATTGAGAGGGAGGAGGAGGAAGAGTGTCACATTCATTACTAACAACTTCGCACATAATAAGCATGTTCAGATACACCCTGGGGTGTTAGTTTTCTTTTTCTATTTTTTTGTCCCCTTTTAGCTGCTTTCAATAAATAGCACATTTTATTTTTGAAAAAAGAATCAGAGCTGTTATTGAGCAGCCGCGCCCTAAGGAAGGTCAAGAGATTAGAGGACGGAAGTAGGCTGGCTGGACTCTTTGCTGACCACAGTAAGGGACTGCCGCTTTCTTCTCATAATTTAATTTTGAGATTCTGATGAAAAGGTACTCCCTTAAAAAAGTGAAAAATTGTTAGAAAATAGTCATCAAAAAGTGATCAATTTAATTTATGTCTTAGAAACAAACCGCATGTAACTAACTGAAGGGCAGATATGCATTTGCTATGATATATGGACATTTTCAAAATATGGGCAGGATTTTGTAACAGAAAGTGGACATTACTGGGTTCTGGTATTGGTGATAATAGCTTTGGCCTCATTTCACAAGTATTCTGAAATTCTAAACCAGAGAACAGTACACTGAGAGGAACCTTTGAATTTAACTGGTCCAACTCCCTTATTTTACAAGTGAGAAAATTGAGGCCTAATGATAAACAATAACTTGCCCAAGGTTACACAGTGGATGAGAAGCAGCACCAGGACCCAAGCTCAAACCCCCCATTCCCAGTCCCAAGTTTCTTCCACTGAGTGAACCAACTCCAAGGGGAAACTGCAAACTCTCACATTAAATGAGAAAGTCCTCTTTCCAGCAAAACCAGCATCTAGTCCCCTTTCAAATGGCCTCACATGTTTCTCAAGGCCTGGACTTGTCTGGCCTGGCCTGGACTGACTTCTTCAAGGCAGTCTAAGACACATCCTTGCAGCCCCAAGAACTCAGCTCCCTGATCTCTGTCTTTCAAAAATGCACAGACTCTATCACAAATGCCCAAACTGTCTTTATGGACATGTCCTGGGATCATCAATGTTACCATTATCTGCCATCACACGAGTTAAAACTTTAAAAGTCACCTCAACTTCTTTCTAGTTCTCTCATCCTCTCCTACTCCTACTTGTACTGCTGACAAGTCCTGTAAATTTTACCTCCAAAATGTATCCCATTTGCATCTCCTAATTTATGTTTCCAAAGGCCTCCATCAGTGTCTTCCTGCCTCCAGGTTCGTACCACTTCAGCTCATTGTCCACAAAGGCCAGACCAGAGGGCTCTTACTCAACAGCACTGACATGCTCCTGCTCAAATTCCTGTCACCTACAGTATAGAATCCTTTAACACAGCATGCAAGCCCTCCTCAATCTGATCTACTTACTTTGAGACAAGCTCCATTCGATCATCCCAGCTCATTCATTCCATTCCAGTGCATTGGACTACTTGTTTTCTCCAAATGGTCAAGACCTTGTTGCCTCAACTTGGCTTCTCTTCAGCCTCCAGAAGTCTTCATTCCTCTACATCCAGTTCAAATGCAACTTTCCCTGTGAATCTTCCCTAAGCATTCCAGAAGGAAGTAGTAATTCTTTTAAGTTCCCTCAGCACTTTGCTCAGACATTTTTAATGGTACTTATTTAATTCTACCTTAAAATCAGTTGGAACTCTTTTGTCTTTGAGAAGATGCTTCATTCCTCTTGGAATCCCCAACATATTCCCTCATCCAATGCTTTGCACAAAATAAATGTTTGACTTTCTTAGCATTCATTGAGCACTTACTATCTGTGAGGCACTAGGCCAAGAAGTATAAGGAATGTAGGAGAAAGATACAAAATAAAATGCAATCCCTTTCTTCAAAGGATATTTTAATATAATCACCAAGACACCATCACAAATAACATAAGCAAGTGAAATAGCTGTGGGGGTGGAACTAGGTGGAGGGGAAGTTCAGAATATGGATGGATAAAACATTCTCTGTGTTCCCAATGAGAACACTGGTGTTATGACATGGAAGGGGGGGCAAGGAGGGAGAGGGAGGAAAGAAAGGGCAAAGCTGCTTCTCGATCCCATGTCTGTTTTTGTAGTAATTACTAAAGAAGTCTTCCTAAAAGAGATTCTGATCACTTAACTCCCTGTTCAAATGTTTGCTGTTCAATGAATCAAACATCACATAATTATAGGCTTATGCTTGGAGTTAAGGAGAATACCAGTTTGTAGAGATGAGACACACTTCAGGAAACAGCTGGAGAACACAAAACAAGAACATGCTGTAAAAGTGCTAGGGAGTGGGGGAAAAAGTAAGGACATGATCAGTAAAGGCTGAGATTCATTGAGAAAGACTAGAGGAGGCAAACTTCCAGTGGATGGCCACTTGGTAAGAAAAAAAGTACACATACCAAGAGAACTTTAAGTTTCCTGTAAGGTTAAGACTCTCCTTATTATTTGAGGTGGTTTATTCATTCATTCAATAAATACATACTAGGCACTTCCACAAAATACTAAATATTGACTGAATGTTTTCTATGTGCCAGGAACTCTGCTACACAATGGAAATAGCAGTGAATAAGAGACTTTGCACTTAAACTCTTAAAATATAATGGAGATGGCTGATACCATACAAGTGCAATAAAATGTGATGGATACACTGACAGAGAGCATCAGGTGTCACAATCTCCAGCCACAAAGCAAGGAACTGAATACACCAAGGGCTAGGAGAATATCCCTTAGGAGGTAGTATTTAAGCCAAGACACCAAAGCTGCCCAAGAGTGAAGTCAGACAAAGCTCACTCAGCACCCAAGTAGAAGAACATCATCTGTGATGATCTGGCATTAAGAATGAATCTGGCATGTCTAAGAAACTGCAGAATATTCAAAAAGTCTACCACAAGGAAAGTAAGTAGGAAGGAGATGAGGGATTTGGCTATAAAGGTAAGCAGGATCAGACTACAGAGTTTGACTAAGTTACACCAAGGATTTTATGCTTTCTCAGTAGGTTTTAATGTCACATTGACACACTATCACATCTACTAAATGCATAATAAACGTCTGTTGAAGAATGGATTAGTGAATGAATGGATGAAGGAATGAATCTCCTTTGCAATGAGCTTGGGCTTTTTGACTGAGACTTTAGTGCAGATTGTGTAGCCCTTGTCCAAAATGCTTGGACCAGAAGTGTCCCAGATTTTGTAGTCTGGAATGCTTGCATATGCATAATGAGATATCTTGAGAATGGAACCCAAATCTAAACCCAAAATTCATTTGTTTCATATATACCTTATATACACAGCCTGAAGGTAATTGTATACAATTGTTTTAATAATTTTGTGCATGAAACTTTTGATGCAGAATCTTCCACCAGTGGTATCATGTAAGCACTCAGTTTTGGATTTTGGAGCATTTTGGTTGGATATCAGATTTTAGATTAACTATGCTCAACCCATATTTGCTCCAGGGAGTGCTGCTGTCACAGGGGCATTGTCCCCTTAGATTTACATATCAGATTGAACTCATGACCCCTCTAGGTAGACCCTGACCTTCTTAAGAGTCACTCAGAGTCACCTGGCTCACCCTAGCAGACAGAACATATGTAAATCTGCATTAAAGTCAAAGATTTTTTTAGAAAGTAGAGTGAATGTTTTTATTTAGAAACCATTTAGGCATAAGGTATGAAAGGGTAGACTGGCCCTTTCTTAATCCTTGATGGAAAGAAATTTGCCTTCTGAATCTCAAGGGCAAGAATATTCCCAAATTAGATTATTCATAGCAATTCCAACAGGACAGATAAGTCCAAGGAAAGAAAGAATAAATGTTCCAGAAGGAGATTTTCACCTTTCTAATATGAACAGAAAAAGTAAGACAGTTCTAAAAAGCTAAATTGGCTCTTCCTTTGGACCCCCAGGTTTTCTAAGTCACTGAGCTGCAACTCCGAACCCAGCTCCAGAGCAGCCACCTGCTGGAGCAAATGAGCTGCTGGGGGGAGTTGGGGGCCAGGTGGTATATCTAGAAAGGAGGAAATTTTCAGGAATACAAGATGCCATTCCCAGGATTCTAAGAAATTATCAGGCCAAATATTACCACTCCACCCTCTTGCTTATAACCAAGAAACTTTCTCTTGATTTGCCATAGAGTCACATTTGAAATTTAGGAGTTGATTTGGCTCCAGGTATAAATAACAAACCAGATTCAGTACCTAGTAAAAGAGTCCAAAATTATCCCTGAAGTCATCATAACAGCTAAGCATTCATTTGGCAGAGACAGTATCTGAATAGAGCTTCAGAAAGATTCTTAATGCTGTTGCTAGGGCTGTGGGGTGTGTGTGTGTGTGTGTGTGTGTGTGTGTGTATTCATGCATGGAGGTGCATGTGTGTGTGCACAGTATTCATATGCATTTTAATCAGCAAAGCATCCCTGACATAATCAACAGCCAGAGATGGTCATTTGGCATCTTACTTCAGGGAGAAAAAAACCAAAATGCCTACATGTGGCTTTCTAGGAAATATATTTTGTGTTTCATTAGTCATGTAAAGCATAACACTGTGAAAGAAGGCAGGTGCACCCATTTGTGGCTGGCACAGAAGCAGCACTGTAATCTTCTGCCTGAGACTGAGCCTCTTGGTGCTAAGTGCCAGGTCTACCGATTACTTTCTCAGACCTGCTTAGACAGAAACCTAAGACTAGGTTGAACAGCCCCGACTGGATTTAGAGCTTCCTTAAGGGATCCCCTTACTCTTACTGGGAACATGCATGGGTGCCCCGTGTTGAGGAGATGTGCTGCCACCTGTGTGCTTCTGGTCCCAGGCAGCTGTGGAACTAAGGGGCTGGCCCCAGAAGAGCTATAGCCACAGATCTCTTCACAGGCTCTTGGATGCCAGGTGGTAATTCTTTCCCTGCCATTGATAAAGTACAAAGCTAACTGTCTGACTCCCTGTACCCTGGAGCGACATCCAGTTCAGAGTCAGCATTGTTTGACATGAAGCTTGTTGTTCTTGCATGCTGTTCCGAGTGGTCCTCACAGATAGGATAGGCTAAACACACTGAAGTCATGGCATCTTTTAACTACACGCACACAAGCCTTTCCCAGGCTGCAGTCCCAAGAATACACCTAGATTCTGAGCCAAGCTGTTTCCCTCTCCCCTTCTCACCCTGTGCATCATTTGCTCTTTTATTTTGCATTAATAGTAGCTTAGTGATCATGGACTTCAGCTCTTGCCCGTAGTGATCCTGTTCGCGTTTTATTCTTTACACAGAATAGGAAGGAGGTTCGCTTGCTTTACGCAGAGGCTGAGCCACAGGAGAAAGCAAAGCCAATGTGATTTATTGAATGAAAGCACTGGACAATTACCAACAACTTGTTCCTCTGCTGCCTCGAACAACCTAAACTGGTAAGTGAAATTTATTGTTGTCTTTTTTCATGTGAACGTGAGGCTTTCTTAGTCACTGATTATTTTTTAAATGTGTTTGTATTGCTGTGGTTTAAATGCTTTAAAAAAAAATCTGCATCTTCCAAAGTTAGCTGCAGGCAGTCCATGAAGGATGCAACCAAGCACAGACACAGTGGTCTGCAATAGCACATACACTTCCATGTGAACCATGAAGGGTGGGGGTAGGGAAGCCCCTTTTCTAATAATTGGTTATTTTCTTTGATTTTCTCTGCAGTAAGCTTAATCATATTAAATGCTTGCATAACTGATTAGCATAAGCTATGAAAATTAAATTACTGTTTTATTATATAAAGTCATTTTCTAATCAGGTTCCTGAATACCTACACCTATTGGATCAGGTAAAGATGGGTAATTTCATGCTAATAATCCTGAATTTAAACTCAGGCATACTGGTATCTTATAGCCAGTTTGCAGGCTGGGCATATAGAGTTTAATGCCAGCATTCTGTCCATCCTGGGTGAGCATGCCCATAAATAACATCATGATCGTGATGCTGAGGATGCACACAATGGACATGCATCCAAACTCTTGCTTGACCCACTGCCACTTCCACATCTACATTCCTTAAGTTTTGCCTTTATTCCATTAATATGGTTGCTAGGGTGCACTAGGCTCAAAGCAGGATATTTTAAGTGTCTTTCTACTCTTAAGTGCTTGTTCTTGGCCTGGAAAAGCCAAAGGGAATACCATTGATAATCAAGGGTGAGTCTGCTTCTGTGCTGGGTTCCAAAAATCCTCATACTCACTTGACTTCTTCATTTCCTAAATATGATGTAAGCCAACTTCTTAGAGGGGTAAAGTGAATGGAGAAAGATATTGCTTTTCTTACCCTCCCTCAACCAGTTTCCTCAGTCTTTGCCTTGCCTACCACAAAACTTTATGGCAGCATCAATCCATCTCTGGTGAGCTGAGAGTCCATATAAACATCATATAGAGTTCAATGTCTTTGTGCACTGTATCTGCCATACGTCACAGGCCATTCCAATGAAGTTGTGGCCTTGGGTGCTGACAAAGATGGATGATGTTAGAACAGAGAGCAGCATGATTCTCTAAATAAAAGCCAAAACCAGGAAATCCCAGAGATGGGTGAAGTTTTGCCTTGTAGAAAGGATCCCTAGACACTCAATCAAAGAGCAGGATCATTCTCCCATGTGATTTGGCTATTTCACTATTGATGGTGTTCCAACAGGAAGGAGATAAAATTACCTCCTGGTTAGGGGATGGGAGAGATGTCAAGATAGTGGGGCACTTTTTCCAAGTCCCAGACTTGTTTTGTGTTTTTGAGAAATTCCCTTAGCCTTTCCTGGATCTCTATCCCTCTGTTCCCTCCATCCCTGATAATTTCAAAGAAGACATGCTAAACTCAATTAACGTATCCAGAAGCTACCACTCTAAGCTCTTTTGTTAAAGTGTGCATTGGGCAATGAAGGTCATTGTCAATGCACTTTAATCCAGAGACTATTCATCAGAATGTAAGTGGAGCATGAAGGGTGGGGGTGGGGAAGCCTCTTTTCCAGTAATTGGGCATTTTCTTTGATTTTCTTTGCAGCAAGCTTAGTCACATTAAATGCTTGCATAACTGAGTAGTATAAGCTATGAAAAATAAATTATTGTCTTATTACATAAAATCATTTTGTGATCACTTTCCTGAATACCTACCCTTGTTGGATCAGCTAAAGATGGGCCCCTTCATGCTGATAATCCTGAATACAGAGCCTCAGAGGAGAGTGTATGTAGGGATGAAGGGCTGTATGCCCCATCTAAAGGATATAGAACACTCAGAAGGAAGCGTGATCAGGAGAGAACAAATCTAAAAATAGAATTCAAATAAATAGGTAAATAATTGAATAACTATTCAATAGATAATCAAATAAATAGGTGAATATGCAAATAATCAGGATTATTTTTCAAAGTAGTTCAGTAATAGCTTTTTTCCTATATTTAAGATTCCAGAATTCTAACGGTCTCCAATGTTTTGAAAAAAATATGTAAGTATTTTTCAGGGAGTAGTTCATGTGTAGGTAGAATCCATGTATAGAACTGGTGGCAACTTCTAGTTCTTCAAATTACCCCCACACTCTTGCACATGGAATTGAAAGCTATAAATGTACTATGAGTTGAGATGATCTAGAAGCCTCATTTGCCAAAGACACTGTCTCACCTTTAGGATTTGGTTACCCGAAATACTTTAATTAGGGATCCTGTCAGGTATTGCTCTTTTACAAAATACAAACATTCTTACAAGGAATAACAAATTAAGCCACTGATATCATAAATGAATGTATTAATGTTTTTACCTCAAGGGCACCCCAAAGGATGTTGAATTATTATGATATTAATTATTAGACTTTCTATTTACTTCATACTTGCCTCTAAGAACTTCCTTTACAATTATTATTTCACTCTCAATCAGAAAAGTAGGAAGTCCTTAGGACAAGCTATTTCCTTCTTTTTATGGAATACTTGAATTAAACAATGCCCGATAAATTGTTCTAATAGGTCTTTAAGAGTCACATGTGGAAAGCCAAACCCACTATCCTTTCCCCTTTGAAATTCACATTTCCTGCTATATTCCTTTTTTTTCCCCCATTATTGGTGAACCCATCATGCACCCAGCCAACCAGCAAGGCTCACAGAATTTATCTTCAGGTTTCTTGATCACTTTAGCCCCTCCATCCAATCACTAACCAAGTCTGGTCTATTTTGTTCATCTTTTAAATTTGTCTAGCCCTCTCTTGTCCCTGTTCATGGGACATTTTCAAGAGATCTGAACTTGATTATTCTCTGCTACCATTATCACACTTCTTTCCTTTTGATAATCTTCTGGCTGCTACCAGAGTAATTCTCTAAAAATGCAAATTTCAACTTTTAAAATATGTGTGTATATTTAATCAACACATACTAATTGTACCTATTTATAGGGTACAGTATGACATTTCAATATATGTATACAATGTGCAATGATCAGATCAGGATAATTGGCATATCCATCACATAAGGGTCTCTGGTGCTCTCCTGTTGTGTCCAAGTTAAAATATGTGTTCCTTATTGTATGTGAGAGGCCCTGGATGATTTGGCCCCGTTATCTCTCCAGGTTTCTTCCCCAAAGTCTCAGCATTGTCTACAAAGTGTTCCACCGTGTGTCAAAGGTCAGAGGACTTTCATCCAGAGGACTTCCATTCCCCCATGCTCTGGCCCTGACTAACAGCCACACCATGACCTTTCTCATCATTGTAGACTTATGCCTGGAATGCCCTTATCTATCCTTGCTCATCAATTTCTCTTTTCTCGTTTCAAATCCTTTTCAGGCATCACCTTCTCTGACCCATTTCCCCACAACATCTTTTCCCATGATCGTCTCCTCTCACCCAAAAAGTCAACCACTCACCCCTCTGTTTTATTTCTAGGTCTTGGATTTCTTGAGAAAAGTGTTTGGAGGTTAAGAACTCAGATACAGACCCAGAGTGCCTGCATTTGAATCCCATATCTACCTTTTACTAATACCTCAATTTCTTACATATGTAAAATGGAGATAATAACAATCCTTCCTTCAAAATGACTATTATAGAATTCAAGAAGTTAAAAGATGTCAATGCAATGCAATGTACTGAATTCTTGTGCCCCCCCGCCAAATTCATGTGTTGAAATCCTAACATTCAAGTTAATGGTATTAGGAGGTGAGGCCTCTGGGTGTGGTAAAGTCATAAAAGCACAGCCCTCGTGGCTTGGATTTGTGCCTCCCCAAAGCACCCAGGAGCTAGCTAGCCCCTCTCATCATGTGAGGACACAGCAAGAAGGTGCTGCCTGTGAATCAGAAAGCATCCCTTGTCCTGACACTGAATCTGCAGACACCTTTGTCTTGAACTTCCCAGCCTCCAGGACAGTGAGAAATTAATTCCTGTTGTTTATAAATTATCCAGTTTACGTTGGTTTGTTAAAGCCGCCTGAATGGACTAAGATGGGCATTATTCTGAACATTACCTGGCTCACAGAGGGAGCTATAGAAGTGTAAACTCTCATTATTATCCTATTTCACACACCACACTATTTGATAACTACATATTTGTTTCACTGTCTTCCTTTCTAACATATGAGCTCCTTGGGGACAGATAGGATAAACAACTCATCTTAATTTGCCCAGGACATTCCTGGTTTAACGCTGGGAGTGCTGCATCCTGGGAACTTTCTCAATTCTAGGCAAACCAATATAGCGGGTTACTCTACATGAAACTCTATTCACTTATAAATTTCCAGAGTCTATCCCAGGATACATAGATTGCAGAATAGATCTTCCATAAGTGTTTGTTGAACTATAGAATCAATGTTAATTATCTTTTCACCTCTTCCCCATAAACATATGCTATAAAGATTCAAAAATCAATTTTCTTCTTGTCATGAAGTCACAACTAACCTTTCAAAACTTAGTATAGAAATATATATGTGTATGTGCAATGTCATATATATTATGTGTATAATATATTGTATATAATTATATATGTGTAATATTTTGCATATGTGATATTTTATAATATTTTATTTATATGTGTGTAATGTATATTTCATATACATGCATGTGATATTTTATATATATACATATACACATATATACATATATGTATTTATATGTGTGTGTATATATATAGACACACACACACACTCTAGTCAGGCTGCTTCCACTCTGTTATGTCATCATTGTAATAGAATTGGCCACCCTTTAGCAATCAAAGACACACTTGTCATGTTAACAGCAGGTGGAGAATGAAAGGGGTCAAACTTTTTTCCGGATAGTGATAGGTAGGTTGAAGACTGAAGGTTCCCTAGTTCACATCACAGAAAGAAGAACAATATTGTCCCAGACAGTAATGTTCCCTTCACTGAATAACTGCCACCCAGCTGTCAAGAATGGTTAGAACTCCTATTTCTAATATGCCACATCTTAA